GGTGGTGCACACCTGTAATCCCAGCACTTGGGAGGCTGAGGCAGGAGGATCTCTGTGAGTTCGAGACCAGCCTGGGCTACATAGTGAGTTCCAGGTCAGCCTCAACTACATAGTGAGACCCTGTCTCAAAAAAACAAAAAACAAAAAAAAGAAACTACCCAGGATGCAAGGAAACCATGCTTGTGTTTGATTGTGCTGATGCTATTGTGTGTGGAGTTTGAGGGTGTCTCCCCAGTGTTCATGTGTTGGAAATCTGGCTGTGTTGAGGTAGCGGAACTTAGGAGATGAAGGGTGGAAAGTGAAAGCGATTAGGTCGTGGAGACCTGATTGATGTAGGAATGAGTTAGTACTCTCGGGAGCAGGTTGTTGTAAAGTGATGCCTCCTTGTCCACATGCCTTCTCTGCAACAGCTGGTTTCTTTCCTGCTTCTTTGTGATGCTGCAGTGCAGCCAGGGGTCTCTTGCTAGTATGCTGGTGCTGGGCTGGTTGGCGTGTGCAGCTACCAGAATTGTGGCTCACATAAACGTGTTTTTAAAGTACATTACCCAGTGTCAAGCATTTTGTTGCAGGAATGCAAAGTGCACTGACCCGTCTGGGAAGCCCTGTGTTTGGAGTGCGATCCTTGTGACTTTGAGAGTATCGGTCCTATTGTACAGGATGCCGTGGCTTGACCCAAGCAGTATGCAAGCGACCTTGCATACTGGTAAAATAAACTGTTTATTGAAGCTGCTTTTCTATTTAACAACAGCAGTGCTAGCGACTCTGTATTAGTTTCCTATTGCTGCTGTAACACATTATTGGACACTCGGTGGTTTAGAAACCGTACAAATTTGTTTTCCAATTTCAGGGGCCAGAAACATGAGCTCGGTCTCCTAAGGCTCGGGTGAAAGTGTTGGGTGCACAGTTTTCCTTCTGGAGGCCCTAGGGAGGTCTCTCCTTGCCTTCTGAGCTTTGGAGGCTGGCTGCATTCCTTGCCTCATCCACTCTGCTTCCTGTCATTCTGATCTGCTGTGCAGCCCTTTAAATGAGGCGCGTTCCCTCCTCTTACGAGGATCCGCAGTACTAGATTGGCATACCCATATCAGCCAGGATTTCTCCTGTTTCAAGTCCTTACTTGAATCACATCCCTATGGTTCTTTTTGCCAAGTAAAGTGACTGCTCACAGTTTCTGTGCATCTTGAACGTTGTTATTCTGCCCACTGTGGATCCCGTCTCACTCCTAAGGCTATTTATTGCCTGGGAAGGACCTCTGCAGGGAGGCCTTCCGTGACCATCCCCTGCTCCAGTCAACCGTGACAGTGTTACTGATTTTATTATGTGAGCAGTGTATTTCTTTCTAACTTAGCTTTTTATTTAATTTTTCACTTTCTGCCTTCCTTCACTTAGAGATTAGATCAATGGAGCAGAACATTGTCAGTCTTCCTCACCACCCTGTCCATAAATCCAAGGAATCCCCAGTACTTGGTAGACTCTCAGAAATTTGTCAAATGAATCAATCTTTATGCAGTCTTGAGGAAGCCTGTCGTACATCAAAACTATATTAACATATTCCTGTTCATATTACTATCAATAATGCAAACATTGTTTTACTAAATAGCAGTTAAGAAAGCTGCCTGTTACTTCTTTTGAATTTAAGTATATGAGTCTTACCTTGGGATATGGATGAGGCCAGTAAAATAAAATAGCAAATGTGTCCAGGAATAAAAAAATACGTAAAACATTAGTTTATTGCAGCAGAATTGGATTGAATTGAAGGATATTATGTTAAGTGGAATAATCCAGACAGAAAGACAAATACTGCTTATGCTCTTCTATGTTTTGAATTAACTAATGGACAAATTGTAACACCCAGCTGAACTGAATCAGCGTGGTTGGGCATGGAAGACCCACCTGGGGACTGTTGCCAATAGCATAAAGAGAACTGGAAGGGAAAGATTGTGGGCTGTTGATTTTCTAGGAGAAGCTTGATGCAGCTGGTTTTCCTGATGCAAACTTGGCTGTTCTCTCATCAGAGGAGCTGTCACTGAAGTGGCTGCTGTTCGGTCCGAGGAGCTCTCATCTGCACCATGAGCATCACTTCCTGGCTCCAGTGTAGACCCCTCAGTCTGGTAGTACAGATCCTTCACTCCACTGGCACAGGTTTTCTGGCTTCTGCCACTGGCCTCTGGGCCTTCCTGGTACAGCTCCTCCATACGGACAAACATGATACATGGCCTTGGGCTGTAGACCTTCAGCTGGACTTGTGTGGCCACTACTGTGGGACCCAGACTCTTGGCTAGATTCTTTGGGTCTCTAGGGTGCAACTAATCTCTTGTATTCCTCTGCATTTGACTGTTTGGATGACTGTTATAAAATAATCCTATAAATTATGTGTCCTGTAGTAAATCTGTTTCCCTTGCAAACCCTAATTGCAACCTATGTGGAAACTAAAAAATTAATCTTAATGTAGAAGAAAGTAGAATAGTAACTACTAGAGGTTGGGGAGAGGAAGAGGAAGGGACGAGAGAGTGGTTGGAAAGTGGCTGCCGATACAGTTAGATAACAGGAATAACGTCTAGTGTTCACAGTGCACAGTATGGTGACATTTTATGAAGTACTAGAGAAAAGGAGCCTGAAATGTCCAGATGTAGGAAATGATAAGATCTTTGGCATATGGGAAGGGAATTGAGAGATGTAGAGGAGGGAGGAAGGGGAGGGAAATAAGATTTTAAAGAGGTGGGGTATTGTTAAGTGCTGTGTATGTGCCTCAAGTCCCTATAAGGAATGTGACCGTCATGTACTACAAACGCATATTAAAATATATATATTTATACGAAGAGGTCCAAGAGATGTAGAGGGGAGGAGGGAGGACAGGAGCAGGAGTTACAGAAAGGAGTGTCATGTACATTTACCAGTTCCCCATGAAGAATGGAACCATGCTGTAGTATAAACATGTACCAATACAAAAATTTAAACGAAGTGATAAGAAAATGGAAATGCTGGCTACCCTGGCTTGATTATTGCTTATCTTATAAATGTTTTAAAATACCATGCTACACCCATGAATATCTATAATCACGAGTTAATTAAAAAGAAAGAAAGCCAGGCATGGTGGCACACACCTCTAATCCTTGCTTTTTGGGAGGTGGAGGCAGGAGGATCACAAGTTCTAAGCCAGCCTGGGCAACTTACTGAGACCTTATCCCAAAGTAAAAATAAAAAGGTACAAAGGATATATCTCAGTAGCAGAGTACTTGCCTATCATGTGTATGACCTTTAGTTCAATCCCCAGTACTGCCAAAAAAAAAAAAAAGATTAAAATCAATGCCGATCGTACCCCCCATGGATAATTGCCTTGATCCAAATTGTAATAGGGTTGGGAAGGTGAGGAACCATGTGGTCTCTCCTCTTCACCGCAGATTTACAACACTAGTATTTCTAATTCTAAGGAGACTGAAGTAAGAAACATAATAGCCACACAAGTGCCTGGAGAATGGAGGCAGGAGGTTATTTTAATGGAGACATCAATTCTGATAAGTGGAGCTTTCTTCAGGCTGTTCCTAAGACACAATTCTTACCACTTCAGAAAACCCTGAGAGCTTTTAGGCAGAGGAACATTATCCATTGATAGGGCATTAAGGGCAACCCTGATGGAAAGATTGCATTTCATTAGCAAGTGCTTTGTAGCCGATCCCTTCATTGCCCCTGTATTTAGGTGGTTGATAAAATGACCCTCACCTGAGTCAGTCAGTTAGGCACCATTAGTTCAGTACCTGCTGCTGGGCGGTAGTGAAGCCCTGCTGTGATCTTGGTCTGTCCTGAGGAGGAAGAGAGGAAGCTGGAAGATGGTGGAAGGTGTCATCGACTGAATGTGTCCCCTTGAAATTCATGGGTTGAAGCTGTAACCCTGAACGTGATGCAGTTTTTAGAGAAGGCCTTTACAGACCTGACTGAGGTGCAGTGAGTTCTGCATGTGGGGTGCCTGACCCAAGCCATGATGTCCTTGTAGGAAGAAGTGAGAGCAGCAGAGCACACACTCACAGAGCGTCTACACAAGGGGGGGAGACAGCATCTGTGGGCCACAAAGAAAGCCCTGGAGAAACCACATCTGCTAACACTTCCAGCATCCAGAATAGCAGAGAAACACATTTTGGTTGGTTCAGCCCCACCAGCTTCTGGTATTTTATGATGTCAGCCATAGCAGATGCCAGAAGGAGGAACTTGATCTAAGTCTTAAAAGGACGGGTGGAGCCATTCCTGGGAGATAGCTTTGCTGAAGGGTCTGCCTGAGGAAAGTACTTAGCAGAAGGATGACTCAAAGCTATAGAAAGAGTTGCTGTGCTGCTGAGCTTAATCCCTGCCCTGGAACACACATAATTTTGAATTAAAGATTAGATAAATGAGTGTGGATAAGGTGTACTTGGGAGCTTATTTGCAGTAGGAGGGGTGAGTAGAGGAGGATCTGGAAATCCAGGGGGAAGAGTTTTGTATTTGGTAGAGTAGAACGTCTAGAGCTTGCGCTGGAGTTTTGCTAAGGAGTCAGATGGGTGACTTTGTAGCACCCCTACCCTACCTCTCCCTCCCTCTCTTGGCAGTGTAATGGTAGAGTGCTTACCTGGCATGCGTGAAGTCTTGGACTCAACCCCCAGGATGACAACAGCAGCAAAAAATTCAGGGGTGGGGAGGATACGATCTGTGACAGGTGGGAATGAAGAGTAAAAGCATGACTCCCAAGAACTGTTATAAAATAACAAAAGAAATCAGACTTTGGCGATAGCCCTGGCGTTAGTTAAGAAGAGTGGAGTTACTGTTGGATAACTAATGAAGCTGAGAGGTATCCAGCTGGTTCTTCAACTCCGCAGTTTTAGGAGGATCAGGATGCATTAGCAGGTGGGGGAGAACATTCTCCCACTCCAGCCTCTTTCGAAGATGTTTAATCAGATGAGTCATCCTTTCTTTCCAGAAAGCTTCATCAGCCTTTCTCCTGTCACTTACCCCTGTAGTTCCCTGCATGTACAATCCCAGGGGTAGTTGAAATGTCCTTTGCACCCCACAGGACCCTCGGATGTCCTTTCCAGAGTCGTCTTCATAGGAAGCAGCATCTTCAGCCTCATGTGGTTGCTCAGGTAGATTTAGCACTAGAATAATGTTCTTTTTTTCCCCTCTCATCATAGGAATGATACATGTTTACTTGAGGAAACTGAATATTGTAGAAATGCATAAATAATTCTAGCAGTTCATAGTCATGTTTAGATAAAGTTACTGTTAGTATTTGGGGAGTGAAATGGAAGAGTTTAACTTCTTCCTTTTTTTTTTCCCCAGTTAATGACCACAATCATTCAGCATGCCACATATTAATGGTATTGGTGACATTCTATTTTTTAGAGTTGCCATGATTCCCTGTGGGAGTTCGTGGGATGTTGTAGGAAACAGTGACTTATTTATTTATTTATTTTTGGTACTGGGGATGGAACTCGGGTTTTGCGCTTTTGAGGCAGGCAGCGGCACCACTGAGCTAAATCCCCAGCCCTAGCAGTGATTATTTTTATCTAAGAAAATTTTGATCTATGATATTTGTAGTATATGTGCAGAGGTTTGAGATTATTTCTAGGAAGATGTGGAGATCCTCTGCAATTAGGCTTGGTAAATTATACTAAAATACTATTTTTAAAGTCTGTGTTTGAGATAAGATGAAAGAGTTTTTAGAGGTTTAGAAATCTTTTTGTAGATAGTAGTCACTGTGTTACTTCACTTTTGAAAGAAGCATATTTTCCTTTTATTTTTCTTTCTGAATGTACAAAGCTTAATTTTAAAGGAGGTAGTCATTTAGTAAGAATAAGGCTGATTCAGTGACGTCTTCTTGGAAGTGAACTGTTTTACCTCTTGAGACAAGCAGAAGAGTAGGCCCTCATCAGCATTCCTCAGTTGACCGGCAATTCGCTGCAACCTGGAAAATGTGTGGCTTCTGAGAAGGTGCACATTCTGCCTTCCTGTGCTTTGATTTCTTCCCCATGTTGGGATAGTTTTCTCATTTGTGCTACTGTAAACCTTTTAAAATAATCATAAAAGTATCAGTCATCTGATTGCTACAGCTGCACACTAAGTGCCTTTTATCTTTCTGATCTTGCAGTTGACCCATGTGGCCCAGGCCAGCTTCCAGGTTGACGCCTTCGGAGCATCATTCGTCTTGGACGTCACGCTAAACCAGTGAGTGTTGGCTGAGCTGCCCTGGCTTCTGCCGCATCCATGTGGAATCCGGTTCCTTATTTTTCTGTAAAGCTTTTTGTTTTTACTGTGTTTTACTTTGTCTTTCTACACCAGTTAATTATTACAGTTAAAACTATTATATTTAATATATTTATTGTAAGGGATAAAGCCTGGCAAATAACAAGACAGATGTGTATTCAAAATAGAGCTGGGGTAGGTTTAAGAACATACGGTGGAAGGCAAGAGTTACACCATTGTTTTATATAAGAACGTGTGTGACCCAAGCTTTCTATGAATGACAAATCATGAAAATAATACTTTGGGTATTAAAATGTCTTTATTAATAACAGCAGAAGAGCAGAAGTTACACTTTTGGACTGATCATTCATAGGACTGCCTGTGTAGTTTTTGGTGCTGAACAATGCCTGGTATCCATTGGATGAGATGCCTGATATCTGTTGGACGAGAAGTCTGGTATCCGTTGGGCAGATTTTTATGAGAGCCTTAGGCTACTAGGATTATTCCATAATTATAATATGATTTGGGAAATCTCATTGTATCTGTCTAAAATTTTTAGTTTGGAAGAGGCATTTGATACATCACTGGATTTAATTTCTTCCTTTTGCTTCAGGATACTGTTTAATAAATCTGTTTCCTTCTTTAAAAAGAGTATGTACCCAACTCCTGTCATGGGTGAATGAGGAGAGACCAGACATCCGTCTGGCCTATGTTTTGGGCTGGGAACACCTGGCCCAGAGCTTTGCTGGACGCATCTGTGCAACAGCTGAGCTCATGGCCACAGGGTCAGACAGGTGAAAAGTCAAGCCTAGGTTGTGCAGACTGAGGAGCCAGCCACATAGAAGACCGTTTAAAAAGGATGGCAAGCCAGGTGTACTGTGACATGCCTGTAAGTCTAGTGCTCTGGCAGGCTGAGGCAGGATTGTAAATTTGAGCCAAGTGTGGGCAATTTAGCAATTTAGCAAGACCCTGTCTCGAAATAAAATATAAAAGGGACTGGTAATGTAGCTCAGTGTGAAGTGCCCTAGATTCAGTATCCAGTACTGCAAAAAAGTAAAAGAATGTAAGAGACATGATTTATGAAAGTATCTAGATAGATAGCCACTAGCCACTTGTGGCTGTTTAAATTCATTAAATTAATGTAAATAAAATTAGCTGGGTAGAGAAGGTACATGCCTGTAGTTCCAGCTACTCTAGAGGCTGAGGCAGGAGGATGGCTTGAGCCCAGGAGTTCCATGGGCAACGTAGTGAGACCCTGTTTCAAAAATAAATTTGTGTTCTCACTTGTACTTAGCACATTTCAAATGCCCCGCAGTCATGAGTGGCTGGTGGCTGCCTTTCCGGACAGGATTTGAGAAGTCAGGATTTTAGGTTTCTGTTTTATTGACTCCCCTCCCTGTCGTAAATGATCCTTCCTTTTGGATAGCCGCCCACTCTTGTGTTCTGGTTCCTGATATTTGACTTCATGACTTTTAGTACTAAAGGAGGGGTATTTCTCTGTGACCATTCTGCCCGAACTGCCTCGCTTCTGTGGGAGTAATCTGAACTCCAAAGCCTCCCTGAAGGAGAAACACGCATATCCAAGCTTATCAGAACTTGAAGCTCACAGTACAAAGGGAAAGTACGATTTTTGTTTTCAGGATACTGCCAGGAGCCTCTGTTGGACATTTTCTTTTTATTACAATGCAAATTTGAAATTACCAGAAGTACAGAGGATAAAATAGTAGCATAAATGAAGGTTGCCTGGGCTGGGAAGTATGCAGGGTACTTTTCTGTGTTTTGGTCTGGGGTCTGTATTAAACGTAGGTGGCAAGTGCTATTTCCACATTGTATCACAACAATGTGATACAAATATGTGCATTTTATTTATTTGTATATTTTTACGTAGAATATTTTTATGTCATGGTTTCAATTTGTATATTGTCTTTGTGGTTCCACTGATGCAGGAGCACAAAGGTGAAAAATTAAGTCTATGTTCAGCTGCCTTTTTTTTTTAAATGAAGCAAATCTAGGGCTGTGGAAAATAAATTTTTTTTAAACTGGAGGAGAATTAAATGTGTTCTTATGTAGCTGGATTTCATTGGCAGAATAGAACAAATAATACATATTTTTAGATTAGAATGGAAAGAAAGATATCATTGCATAATGTTAATTTAGAATGTTCAGTAAACAAGATCATCTGTAACCAGATTATGTGAGAGAGTTCAGCCTCTGGGTTGTAGCTTCTATAGGAGGAAGATGAAGAATATGGAAGTGCTGAAGGTAAAAGCACATCTGGTTCCTGTTTTATCAAAATTATGAAGAAAAAGGTAGGAAGCAGTTTTCCTTCATAGGGTAATAGCTGTGCGTTTTCTGTCCTTAGAACAGATATATTAATAAGACCAAATATAGGGCTTGGCCAGGCCAAATTAGTTGCCTTTTCTAGAGGTCAGAGATAGGTACTGTGTTTTATTGCAAAACAGTCCTCAGAAAGAAAAAGACTGTCTAACGACATTGTGCTGTATGTATCTGAGCAACTCAAGCCAAGGCCTTTTCTGTTAATTTCACCCTATTCTTCAAGAAGTGAATAATTAAACATTCCAGAGCTGTCCAAGAATATTAAAAAAAAAAATTCCCGTCAACTGTAATTCTTGATCCTGACAAAACACACACACACACACACACACACACACACACACACTCACAAACACAGAGATGCTAACATGCCGTATGCACTGCAGCTGGTTGTTTTATGATGTGACATACACAAGATAATTAGAAAGAGCCCGTGTTTTATGAGATGGGCCTATTTATTTGGAATGAGATTTTATGAGAGATTTACAGCTCTCATCTTGAGTAACCCAACTCTGCAGATTGTCACCCTCTTCTCATTTCAATAACAGCAAAATGGTTTTCCTTTCTCTCTCTTATCCTCATAGCAGTCCTCTTTTTTTTTCCTTGTTCACCTTGGCAGGAGGTGGGGAGATAGACCACCCGGAACTCAGACCTGACAGGTGAGCACTGGGCCTGGCCATGCCAGCGTGGAAGGTTTTGGGGAGAAAGCAGGGGTGGAGATGGGGCAGGAGCAGTCAGCTGAAGAGCTTCCAGATTGTGTTCAAATGGACAAGTTCAGGTTTGTTTTTTTGGTACCGGGGATCAAACTCGGGTCCTTGCTCTTGCAAGGCAGATGGCGGAACCACTGAGCCAAATCCCCAGCCCAAGGCTTATTTTTATTGAGGGGAATTATTTGCTATTAATCACTTCCACTTATTTTCCACTGAAAACCTTGAATTTGTGGCGAAAGTAGGAATCACAGCAGGTAAAAGGACGTAAATTCAGTTGGAATTAAAAACTAACCTGAAGAGTCTCATTTATTTAACTGTGCTCTTTTTGCAGTATGGTTCATAAATATGATAAAAATAAGTGATGAGGATAAAATTATAATTTAATGATGATGTTATAATGAATAACAGATCTCTCACTGTTACTGATAAATCACTAAGTGACTATCTTGCTGTTCTGAATTCATTATGGTGAATAATTTGTTCATATGTGTCTTTTTTTTAAGTGCAGTAATTAAATTTATAATCTTTACAAGTGATTTTTACAAAAAGTTTATTCTCTTAAATCCAGTGCATTCACAGGGTGTTAACATTTTAAATGCTCATCATTTCCACCAACTGCAGCGTTATCTAAGTAAACCAAAATCACTTTTATCATAGATATCGCCAATGATTATTAATTTTTTAAAGGACCTAAATTCCAAAATTTTAGCACAGGTAGTTTTATTGTATGTTTCATCTAGTAGATGATTTTTAAAAATAGTGTGTAGAAATGAATACTTCACACTATGTAAATATATTATGCCACATTATCAATCCACTAAATCAGAAGCAACTGCCAAGCTGAATAAGTTACAAAGAAATAATAGTTCTGGCTTGAACAGAAATGTGCAGTATTTTCAAAGCTCTTAACAGTTACCCACTAATACAAATCTCCAAAGCTTAATCTAGAATTGGAAGATAAGTTTCACAGTAAAGTAATTTTAACCTCCTTTACATTCATTTTAATATATTACTAAGATGTTTATATTCTGTCACATGGAGCTTTCCAGTGTTCACAATTTACAGTTTCAATTTTTACATATGTAAGTCACTAACATGAGACAGTTCTTACTATACAAACTATCTCTAAAACAGAACAAAACCCTACACAGAACTCTGAACATCGTATGACTTAAAACAGATTAATGCAACATGATTTTTAATATTTTAGTAATTTTCTAAATACCAGCATGTAAACTTGCCTATTTAATATGACAGGTACAGTTTTATTCATTGAGAAATTGTGTATTAATTTCCTTCAATCATCTTTTCCACCTTATATCAAAACTCTCTTTGACTGGCTTTATCTGATTCAGTGAATTTCAAACTTTTTTTGAAATGGGGATTGAAGGAATGCAATTAACTGTAAACAGAAAAAGGTTTTCAAATTAATCCTTTGAAAATGTTCTCTTCAATATGATTTACAATTTAAATACTTAAAAATTATTAAAGGGGCAGTTGAACCTACCAATCTAGGACCTAAATTTCTAAGTATGAGAACAGAAGAATAAAATATTTCATTCAATTCTGAAATTTAGAACAATTATTATGATTTGAATAGACTGGCCAAAGCAGTCAGAAATTCATAATTCAGTAAATGGTTGATTATTGTGCTTTTGGCGATGGACAGCCAAAGAACAGAGTGACAAATGAAGTAACAAAAACTCGTGTTCCCCATTTTTGGGGGAGGGGTGTGGAAATCACAGGATAGTTTAAATCTTGAAATCCACTGACCTATTCAGGTCAAAGATGAAATTTTAAAAAATTTAATAACCCCATTCTTTGAGTATCAAACTGATTGCTAGTCACAGCTCCAAGTACAATCAGTGTGCCTTAACAGCTTGTTGAATGAAATATTATTAAGGTCAAAAGGACAAATTAAATTTCAAACTAAAAAAA